GGGATGTGTTTTAGCACGGGATTGTCACAGTGAAATATTCCATCTCTGCAGGAGGGGCCTCACCCCACACCTAAGGTTCTCTTACCCAGGGCAATGTCCYTCTCCTTCCTCGCTGTCCCCTGTGMTTCCAGGGCAGTTTTGTGGCTCATTTCTCACAGTTTGACCCTCCAGACTCTCTGCAGGTTCCCGGTGGATGTCCTGGTGGGTGCTCCCACGCTCTACCGAATGCTGGTGCAGAAAGATCTCTCCAAGTACGTCACTGASTTATTACTAACGCTTCATTTACCCAAACTAAACTTCTGTCATCTCCCATATCTGACTGTTTGACCCAAAACAGGGTAAAAATTTAATTTAAAATATTCTTCATGATAAGGCCATCATGAGTTTTGCTGAGTTTTTGGATCAAACATTGAGAAACTTGATGTTTTCCCACAGAAATTTGCTACTGAATTTGTGAGTATGAAACTGAGAGTGTTAAATTCTTTGTCATGGCTTTTGTTTACCACATTAATTGTCCACACTTTGGGAAGGATTTCATCCTAGAGAGTGCAGTCAGCACGAGGTGAGGGAATGACCTGAGGCAGTTTTATCTCCCCCTGCTCTGCCCTCACTGCTGTCACTGTCCCCTCTCCTTTGTCACTGCACAGGGTCAGCACTCAGTTCTGCTCAGCACAGCAGCTCAGTCACAATCCCAGCTSACTCCAGCACCAATTGTATTTTTCMTGKSTTTSACTGACTCTACTGCTCCAYACACACAGAGTTTTGGGCACAGACTGATCCTTGTTGTGTCCAGAAGGCTCTGGGACCCTCTGATTTCCCCTCCACAGCCCCAACTCCCCCGTGCCCACCCTCCTGTCTCACCCATAGACTGAAATGCTGCCTCTCTTGTTTTTAACTCCTGTGAAGATACAAATTCATGAACCTCAAGTGCTGTGTGAGTGGAGGGGAACCCCTGAACCCCGAAGTCATGGAGCAGTGGAAGAGCCAGACTGGGCTGGACATCCGCGAGGTGTACGGGCAGACTGAAACGGTACCGCTGGAGGGTCAGACCCTGCCAAATCTGGGAAATGATTGCTGGAAGGTTGTCTTGTAGAACACACTCTGCTTCCTCTTCCACATTTCTGTCAATGTTCCAGTAATCCCCTTCCCTGGCAATCTCTAAAAGAACTCCTTGTCATGATTTTCCTCACAAAACTTGCCCAAAATGTGGGTTGGTGGGAGGAGATGTGCTCCAATATTCCCACAAATGCCCTYAAGATAATTCCAAGCAAGAGTGACAGTCAAGAGGGCAGAGTTTGAATCTAAGGGAAGAAGAATGGTTAGCAGAGATGAATTTTTAACTGAGAATGGAACAGGGTTCTTTCAGGGAGTTTTATGATTTTGCTTATCTGTACCATACAGCACTGACATACAGGATCCTGTGAATCTCAATTCCTTACTTTGGAATTAGTCTAGAAAATGTGTTTAATGAATCGAGTGGGAATGTAGCAATTTTCTATTGCAAAACTTTGGTTTGGTTTTGATTTTTACAGGGAATAATCTGCTCTGTTTTTAAAGGAATGAAGCTTAAACCCGGATCAATGGGGAAGGCAGCTCCCCTTTATGATGTTCAGGTCTGTTGATTGCTCTTTAGATTTTGTCATCAGGGATTTTTTTGTTGGACTGGATTTGGGTTTGGGGTTGGTTTTTCCATTGGACTAAAATATGTGTTGTTTTTYGTTCTAGATTGTAGACAAAAATGCCAATATCCTGCCTCCAGGACAACAAGGGGAAATTGCTGTCAGAAGCAAACCTATAAGGCCACTTGGTTTYTTCTCTGAATATTTAGTAAGAACTWCATTTTATTCCTCACCACCACTACCAATCTCCCAAAAATCTTTCCAATTGTATTGTGGTTCAAAAAGCTGAATCTTTTTCACCAATTTATTATTTATTACTGCAGTAGTTAATTTATTTGGGTTGGTGGATTTTAGAAAAGGGAAGAGAATAACACACTCAAGATTGAGTTAAATTTTTTCCTAAAGAATGAAAATTATATTAAACCTATTTTATTGTATTTTATAGCAGTATCAGTACATCTTTGACTGAAAAATTAAGTTCCAGTGCATTTGATGTTATGTGTGTTATAGCCTAATGTACAGCTAAAGCACACTGAAAATCTGAACTGCTCCTTGTGCACCTTTTCAAGGATAACCCCAAGAAAACTGCAGAGAGTGAACGTGGGGATTTTTATGTCACGGGAGACAGAGGGACTGTGGATGAGGAGGGATATTTTCGGTTCATTGGAAGAGATGACGACATCATCATTTCCTCAGGGTGAGAGTGCTCTCGTGTCCCAAACCTGCCAGGGACAGTGTGAGCTGTGACCCCACAGCCCTGAGCGTGTCTGAACTTTGGTTATTGTCACCTTTCCATGGCCCCACAGCACCATCCTGGTGATATCAGCAATATCCACCTCCCCTGCAACATCTCACGGGTTCCAACAGGGAATGGAGGCTTCAGCTGGCAAAGGAGGGGTGTTTATCTGGTTTACATTTTGACTAAAATTGAAGGGATCTCTATTGGGGTCAAAGAGCCTTTGAAACCATTTCTTTCTAAATGGAAATGAAAGGATTTGGTGCTGTTTGATGCCATACCATGATGTGGCACTGGCTGCTGCTGCTGCAGACCCCAGGGATTGGGGGGATGGAGCTGCAGCTCAGGGGATCAGGGAGAGGGGACAGATGGAAAATCTCCACAGCCCCAGCATCCTSTGCCACTGTGAAACCCTCCTGACCCAAACAGCTTTCCCATTTCACCTAAACCTTCCACAGTTCTCGATTTGTTCTGCCTTGGATTTTCTTTTCTTCAACATGACATTTGGTACTGGTTTTCCAGCTAAAAACCCCCAAAAAGCTAAATGCTGTTTTTGTTTTCCCCTGCCTAGGTACCGCATCGGGCCGTTTGAAGTGGAGAGTGCCCTGATAGAGCACCCAGCTGTGGTGGAAACTGCTGTTGTCAGCAGCCCCGACCCCCTCCGAGGAGAGGTGAGGATGGTGAGGGGAAAGCAACGCCTTTGCTCAAATAGAAAGTGATAGAAAGAAATCTCTGCTTTACTGCATAAAGTACAGCCCCACAGCAGCTGTGTATCCTTAGAATGGTGGGATCACTTGGGCTGGAAAGAGCTCTGAGATCTCTGAGTCCAAGCATTGACCCAGCACTGTCAGTCCCCAATGAACCGTGTCCCTCAGTCCATCTGCTTCCACCGTGGGTGATCCTAGCTGGGCTCACAAGCCAATCCCTCCCATTTACATTCCTTTGCCCTTCTGTTTCTTTTCATCCTAAGGTCTTCTCTGTGGAGACATTGCAGTGATGTTTATTTTGTTCTTGTTTGGACACCTTGATTGTCCTTCCTCTTGAGTGCCCCTGAGACAAAGGGAAGAGGCTTTTATTTGTAATGAGGGCACAGACCCTGTGCTTTAAATCTTCCCTGGTGCACACACACACAGAACTGGGCACAACCATTCCTTATCACACTCCTGATGGCTCTGAGCAGCACTGCTCACTGGTACCAGTTCTAACAGTTCCTGATGGCTCTGAGCAGCACAGCTCACTGGTAACCTCCACCTCAGCCCTTAACAGATGGTGTCACATCACTTTTGTTTGATTTTACAGGTGGTGAAAGCATTTGTGGTTCTGTCACCAACTTTTTCATCCACGGACCTGGAGAGCTTAACTYGTGACTTGCAGGACCATGTCAAGAAAACTACTGCTCCATATAAATACCCTAGAAAGGTAAATACTGCTGAGGAGAAACTTGCAAACAGTTTCTGTAATTCTGTTATTCTCAGGAGGATTACAAGAATCACTTGAAAGAGGCAGCAGTAAAGATTGATCTAGAGCACTGGCTCCAGCAGACTTTCCTAAATAATATTAGTTTACATTATTTTTCATGCATTTGAGTGAAATTATTTTCAAACGTCTCAAAAAATTCTAAGTTTCATATATCCCAGTTAGATCTCCATGCTCAGACTCACAAACATAATTCCCATTTTGAATTTAACCTTCAAAGGAGTGCATTACTGATGCCTTTAGGGTAGCACATGACTGAATTTGAATAAGTTTTTATCTCCTGATAGAAGTTAATATCAGTTAATAAACACCCACAAGCCCTGGAGGATACACTTGGTGTTTCTCAGCAATGCCAGTGCTACAGGAAAAGAGGCACTGCAGTCACAGCCAGAGGGACTCTTGGAAGTCCAGCTGTGTACAACATCTGAATCACTCTCTATTTATCCAGGTGGAATTTGTCCAAGAGCTGCCAAAGACAGTCACTGGGAAGATCAAGAGGAATGAATTAAGAGACAAAGAGTGGGGACGGATATAGCATTGTTTGGAATTTAACAAATCTTGTCATTCCATCAGCAATATGTAAATTCATATAACATAACTGTAAATTCATATAACATAACTGTAAATTCATAAAACATAACTGCCCTCATTGTGATCTCTGTTCAATGCCTGAGCATCAAAAACATCCAGAAGTGATGTTTGTGCCTTCTTGCAGAGCCTCCAATGTCAGTACTTGACTGAAATGTTTTATTCTGGGTAAAAAATAAAATTTTCAATATACTATTTCAATGGCCTTTCAATAAGTGAGATTATATTGGGTATGTGAGAAATAATCCTTTTATAGATTRTGTGATCATGTATTAGCAAGCTGTAGAAATTCACAGTATGTGTTTAATGTTGCACATATACATATAACTGAGGATATAAATATATGCTTTGTGTATGCATTTGGCACATACAATTGCTGTGCTTGCTTTGGTAAGAAAGTTAATATTTACTTTTATGTCTTGAAATGCTTAATACATTTCCAGAATGGGTTTGGAACTTGGTCCTGCAGATTTTCTGGACTGTGATTTTTGTGACTTTGTGCGTTATTTTAGTCAGTCCATTGAGCAGGAGCATTTTATAAGTGATCTACAACTTCATCTCCTTTCCCTCAAGACAAAAACTGGAACTAAGCTTTAATGAGAAACAGAGCAGCCTTTAGGTGAGTTTGGGTTTAGTTAGCCAGAAGGATTTYAGATTGTTGATATCAAACCAACTCTTCTGCTAATAGTTGATCTGGGCCTAAGCAGCCATTCTGTAAGARTAAAAAATGAACACAATTTATAAATGAAATGGATGTAAGCTTATCTGTTTGAAAAGCAGAATAAGCAGAAATTGGATTAGATTTTTAAGTGCAATAAAGATGTTGAAGAATGTAATCTGGTCACAATTTCAGCATCTGATTCTTTTTAAGAACATTCAGATTTCAAATGTGAGTACTTTTTGGAAAACTAATCCACTTTGAAGTGAAGTAATCCGATTTTTCATGTAATCCATTTATATTCCCTGTAAGTAATAGTTTTTAAAATATAATCTAATTATGACCTTGGAAAGCAATTGATTTTAAAAGTATAACCCTGCAACAGGTTCCTGGGCTCTGCTCCTGCTCTGTGCCAGGCTTTAACCAGGGATTTCTGTCCCTGAACCCTGCTGGTGGCACCAACTGCTCAGGAGTTTYCTCTGTGCTGCAGCCCAGACTGCTCTGGGTGCACAGGAGCTCAAATTGCCAAAGTGTCACTGCAGCGTGGAAATGGCACAAATCCTGCACCTGACCAGGAGAAAAAGGAACAAACTGCTCACTCAAAACATTTCTGTTTGATGAGTGCCCAGGGTTTTGAGCCCCAGTTGCTCCGTTCCAAGTTCAGGCTGGGCTCAGATTCAGTGCTGTGTTTGTCCTGCACTACTGACTTGAGGAATTGCTGAGCCAACCAACTGATATTCTCTGTTCCTCTGGAAATGAATTTGTTCTTTTTGTTGGGTACTGGGACTGATGTGTTACCTGCCAGCTAAATCCTAAACAGAACCAGGAGCTCCTAAGTTTGCAGGCTTGGCCCAGGAAGGGAGCACAGCCTGGAATGAAACAGCAMAGGGGTGTTATTTCTGTGTACAGACAAGCTGGGCTTTGGGAAGAGTCAAAGGAACAAAGAGACAAACACAGAGTGGTGCTCTGAGCTGTTTGCTGCTCAGCTCCTGACCAGAACACACTCATCCTGGCCCCGTGTGAATTCCAGCATCCTTAAGAGGACAACCTGCTAAATAAGGGTGGAGGACATGCATTTTTATTCTGCTAGTTTGAAATATTTCTAAAGCAGTATATCCTCTATGACTTCAAATTATACATGGGAAAAAGGGTTTTTGAAAGAAGTGACAGAAGAGGGAAAATGGACTGGCCCTTATTTTTGCATCTGCAGCACTCTTACTGAAAGCCATGACAGGCCTAACTCTGTGCTAAATATTGTTTTGTAAAAATGCTTTTTACTCATCTTTGATGATCTTTCTAGCTCCAGCCAGTACGGGGTTATCTAGAGTTTCAGGATTAAATATAATCAAGGATTTCCTGCAGTGTCAGTTCAGACTGTGAGATATTTCCATAGCAGAGGTTTAGATCAGCCCTGCTAGGTCACATCTCACATTTCCTGTCACCTCTCTGTAGCCCTTGCACTTCACACAGAGCTGCTACAGCTCTTGATTCAGCAGATGTAAGTGGTATTTGAACTCTGTGACCAAGGCTGTATTTAATAGGAGCACAAAAACACCAGTGAATAAAGAAAAAAAAAAGAGGCATGGGGTTATTTCCTGGTTCTGCTGTAAACTCACTTTGTACTGCTCATAACCACATCTGCTGTTGCAGCAGGAGCCTGAGAAAACAGCAAATGCTGTGTAGTAAAGCCATCCATAACCTTTCAGAACAACAAATTGTTATCAACTGCCTGTAAAACACAAGTCCCAGTCAAGGCTGTGCCAGGAGGGTTCTGCAGGWGGATCTCACCTTCTTCACACCTTTAAGCCCTGAAATGGAGATTCCTTTGCTTTCCAGCTCCCAAGTTCATTATTGTCTGAGGTCAAAAATAGAAAACAAATGCACAGAATGCTTGTCTATTACTGAGTGATCATTCCAGGTCATTTAAATGCTCTTGCACACTTGTATCTCATTAATGAATTAGGCACCTCTAAACAGGTGGAAGACAATTTGGTCTCTTTTTTATAGAGAAAATGAACATTTGGGAATAGCCCATCTGCTAATTTAAAAAGCAATATTATGATGATGTCCTTGGCTCTGGGGCTCTSCACTGGGAGCTGCTGGGCAGTGCTGGCCTGGACAGACTGCCCATGGGTCACCTTGCAGGAATGGGCAGTGCTTTCCTGCAAAGCCAAACCTTTCCAACCAGCAGTCCTGGCAGAGCATTTTCACCCATTTTCACCCGTTTTTGCACGTGCCACGTCCCAGTTCAACCCAAGAGCAATCTGAAAGGGAAGAACACCATGCCCACAATGAACAGTTGCTCATATTTCATGTTGTTTTCCAGGCAGGCCACCAAACCAAGCCTCTCAGGTTSACAGGATTAGCTGTTTCAAGATGGCAAAACCACAGGGTGATTGTTTTTGAAGAGAATATAACACAGGAAGGATTTTGCAGAATGATTCTTCAGGGCACAGGATATCACCAGCTGCTTCCAATCAGGGGCAGTYATTAGTGTTAATTAAAGCTCTCCCCTGCTCTATTTCACTACTGAAATGATAAATGAGCAGAAACACATGCAAATTAATAYTTTAATTACACAGTTGTGACCCTCACAAAAGGCAAGTCAGTACTGGAAAACACCTAGGCTGTAAGACTGACTTACTGTTTGTCAATAAAGGGTTGAATCCAAACACTGGAGAAGTGAAGGCACAGGGGAAAGCCAGGGAATTAATCTGTTAACAGTAAATGTTCAGTAAGTGCAAATTAGGAAAAATCAGAAGCAAACTGTAAGTCCTGTAGGCACACAGTGAGAGGGAGGAGGAAGGAAAAAAAAACACCCCCTAACTACCCCAGTCTTTGTCCTTAGAAGGTAAATAGGCTGTGATAAATCGTGATCCACAACACCTGCCACCAATAAACATTCTCAATCTTTCCTCTGTGTAGACACTGATGGTTTTAACCCCCACACAAAAACCTTTACAATTTAAACAAAACACCAAGGGAGGTAAGAAAGCAGAGTTTTAATAAATGGCTTGCAAAGGGAGACAGGACTAGGGAAAAAAGTCATCTTCATTTTTCAACTTCCAAAACAATTTTGAAAGAAAACGAGAATATAAATTATSAGAGACTTGAACACATTATTTTCATTAAACCAAGACAAGTAACAAGTTGATTCTTTAAAGTAAGCCTTTTCCCATTAGCAACACCCAGGCTTTCATGCTAGAAATGAAATACTAAAGCTAGAAAGCTGTACAGGAAGCATACTGAAAACCCTGTAGGAAAGCATATTATAGCTGCACTGGTTTTGGTTGGTTTTTAGAAGTCACTGGGACAGTCCACTGTAACAAGAAGACAACAGAAAGACTCACTAACTTGCAATCTAAAATGAAATTAATACCATAAAGCTAAAACTGTACCAAAATTAAATTCCCCTTACCTAGTATATAATGGAGAGCTTCTTTCATTAGAAGTTTCCAAACAGTATTTAAATTCCAATTCTGAGACTTTTAAAAAAAAACTAAAAACAGAAGCACTTTATAAAATCCCTCAAGGATTGAGTCTTTGGAAAGAGCAGCAAAAGGCTTTTTGCAGGAAATTTCTCAAAAGGATTCCATTCAGTGATTACAGCATTTACTATAAACCAGTAAGTGCTGCATACACAGCTAATGTAAACACACATGTAATTTTTGATAAAATCATCTGCACTGTCTGCACCGTATTTCTAGAACAGTCCAATCTTTTACTGTAAATCATCTCATAATATTCAAGTATTTATTTATATATCATAGCAGTTCTTTCCATTCATTCCAAGACAGCATATCCTTGCAGAGCTGTGTACATATAAATGTTTGTATAAAACCCTCCATCAGACAGGAAATGGCTGGATTTACCTCATTCTGTTGTGCACACAGAAAAATGTTACCAAGTTCTGCAGTTGTCAGGTCACTTCCTTCAAAATGCTCTGCAATGGATCTCACTTGTGTCCATGATGGCTCAGAGCTGGTTCTGTGCTGCCTTTTGGCCTCTGCAGCCTCCAGTCATAGAAAAGAGTTCATACATGTCAGGATGAACACGTGTGCACACAATGCACACACTCCTGCTCTCTGTGCCAGCTGAAGGAAGCTGCAGGAGGACAGCAAGGTTCACCACAAAGGTGATGCATTCTTGAGCACCCTTACATCTGCTGCGATGTCAGCTCCACCTGCAACAACCATTAAAATTCAACACATGATGATTGTAAAACCAGCATTTCAAAACAAAACCCACTCTCCTCATTCCAACACCCTTTCAGAACTCCAGGGCAACTTTTTTCTATCTTTGGATTACATTTACCTTTCCCTTACATCTACACTGTAAGTGCATCATTCCCCTTGGGCTCAGGTTCTATTTCACTTTGATTCTTGTTCTCTTCTTTYATTTCTTTGSAGCTCTTCTCCTCCTCCTCAKTTTCTGGTTTTGCTRCCTCTGAGTTCTGTTTTTCTGTCAGACTTGATGGGTTTTGTTGTGTGTCCTCTTTGTCRCTCTTCACCACCTCCTGCAGATTGTATTTTCTGAACAGAACATAGTCCCTCACCACGCTCAAGCAACAGACACTTTTGATTATTTCCACCAAAACGGTGTACTGTGGATTATTAAGATCGACTTTGTTTTCTGGATTGAGGCTGCCCACAATTCCTGTAAAAGAAGATGCAGTTTAAAAGATGCTGGGSAAACTGTTTAAAAGCATAAGCATGTCTTTTTTAATGGATGAAAACCAAGAGAGAGAAGGCAAGATCCCCCCCAGTTGTAACCAATTATTTATTTTTATAATTGCTTAAAATAGCTGAACAGAGTAGGACTCTCAGAATATACCACCAGTAGGACTGAAGTTAACTGAAAAATCATCCCACTGCAATTACTGAGAAACAAAAGATGGAGCTATTTTATGAGCTAAATATTGAAGAGAAATAGTAACATTATTATTTCAATATTGCATCAGAGAGAAAGCCTGACAGCAGTCATTTCACAACACACATAACTGACGCTGCCAATTATATTCACCCTTGTTCTCTCTTCTGCTTGTTGTCTCTTAASACATCAACACCAACAAGGAATACTGGTGTCAAGCTTTTTTCAAGTCTTAGAGAAGCTTTTAAGATTCAATATACAGGTTTTAAACAAGTGTGTATGCCCACTAAGACCACTTTTAATAGTCTGACCCCACRCTRTGCATGCAATAYACTTGTGCWWGTAAAYTTGTTCTGTTTCATGTGAAACCCATACATACCTGCCAATTCCTTAATCACTTCTTCCCTACTTATATGGCTGTTATTACGAGCTTTGTAAACAATCTGAAAAGTACCCTTGTTAGGGGCTTTAAACCAAGGCTCAAAAAAGGTTTCCGTGTATTTTTTCATATCCTCCATAAAAGCCTTGCAAGTTCCAGAAATGGGCAGCATGCGCAGAATGACTCTTGATTTCTTCTTTTTAGTGGTGTGCATATCCTTTAGTATATGGTGCACCAGGTTCTCAGGTTCTGTAAGAAAAACAGCTGGGTATAAGCAACAAATTGAAGGCACTATCTCTGTTCTTCACTTTCTAAATAAAGTGGGGAAATGCACACTTGGCTGCACTGCTGCCAGCCTCAAATCTTTTTATGTAAAACATTGTTTTACTATACCAAAACTGGAGAATCAAAGATTACTTTGTCAAAGCAGTTTCCTCCACTTTCAGCTTCTTCACTAATGACAAAATTCAGTGGTCAGCCAAACTGGAAGGGTAGTTTGATACACACRTGGTACTTGGAAGCCACACTGCGGYCTTTCMCTAGCAGTGCTCAGAGCAGTTTGCATYACTCAGCATCAGCTGAACACCCACCTATGCCCTGGGTTCTGATGAACACCACGTTGTTGGCACCGCTCTCCACCGACTGGAAYCGCCGCAGCTTCTGCTCGGTGGAGGCGCGGATCTGGCCAACCTCCTTCTTCAGAGCCGCCTCCACATCGTCCTCATCCTCCTCCCTGTCGCTCCCAGACAGCCTGTCCTCGGCATCTGAAAACTTCACACAGCACGGTTTGGGGTGAGCCCCGGGCTCAGAGCCCGGGCAGGGCCGGGGGTTCCACAGAGCCCGGATCTGCGGGGGCACGGGGCACACCCGCGGCTCGTTCCCCGCACACACCGGGAGCCGAGGCCCCGCCGCCCCGCTCCCTTTGCCCCGCCGCACGCACCTGCTCGGGCCCGTAGAGCAGGTCCCCGTACTCGCCCAGCAGGCTGTAGGCCTCCCCCACGCACTTGCGCTCGTTCATGTTGCAGGTGATGAGGATGCCGCGCATGCCGGCCTCCAGCTGCCGCCCGCCGCCGCGGGGCCGCTTGGCCCGCCCGCCCAGCGCCGCCAAGTGCCCCTTGGGCCGCCGCTTCCGCGCCGCCGGCTCGGCCGCGGCCATCGGGGAGCACCGGGAGCACCGGGGGCACCGGGAACACCGCCGCAATGGCCTGAGCACCGGGAGCACGGGGAACACCGCGAGCACGGGGAGCTCGGGGAGCACCGGGAGCACCGCCGCGATGGCCTCAGCGCCGCCCCGAGCCCGAGCCCGAGCCCGAGCCCGCCCGGCCCACAGCGCCGCGCCTGGAGCGGCGGCCGAACCGCGGGCACCGAGCAGGGGAACCGAGCGAGGAAATGAACCGAGAGAATGAACCGGGGGGACCGAGGGAATGAACCGCGGGGACTGAGGGAATAACCGCGGGTACCGACCGAGGGAAAGAACCGAGGGGACCGAACGGCGGAGACGGAGCCTCCGGAGCGCGGGTCGCGGAGCCGGGCTGGTGCGCTCGGTGTTGCTGGCCCGCCCTCATCGCGCTCTCGGCGCTCGGCTGCTCCGGCCGCGGCCCCGGCACCGGCACCGCCCAACGCGGCCCAGCCCAGATCAGCACAGCTCAGATCAGCGCGGCCCGGATCAGCGCGGCCCGGATCAGCACAGCAGGGCCCAGCTCAGCGCAGCCCAGATCAGCGTGGGGCGGCCCCGGCGGGATCGGTGCGGCCCGGGAGCGCGGGGCTGGGCCTGGCCCGGCCGTGAGGGGCTGTGCCCGGCTGTTCCCGGCCGTGCCCGGCCGTGTCCGTTGCTCCGCGGGGCCATGGTGAAGGGGCTGTCTCTCAGCGGGCGCAAGCGGCCCCGGGAGGCCGCGCCGGGGCGGCGCAAGAGGCGCAGGGCGGATGGCGGCGGAGCGGAGCCTCAGGTGAGAGCAGCGCGGGGCTCTGTCCCGCCCCTGTGCGCCTTGGTGTCTTTCCATCACATCTAAAACCAGTATCTTTAAAATTTGTACAGGAGGAGTTCTTTGGAATAATCAGTCTGTTAACACCTGACACCTGTGGGCAGTGGAGGTCTCCAAAATGCTGCATTTACTTGCTAATTAGCCTTTAGAAGAATTTGTGTTGTGTGGAACTGAGTGGCAGAGTCCCCACGACTACTCGGTGCTTTCTTTGTGCAGCTTCATAGATTTTACTGAAGCATTTTTCCCTGTAGGAGTCAGCAAACCCTTCTGGGAGAGCAGATTCTCCCAGAATTCACACTGAAAATAGAGAAAAGCTCGAGTGCAGTGCAGTGGCTACATGTAACACTTGTACAAATGTTCAAAGCTCTACAGCAACGAGTGGGGGAAAGGGTTGAGAGCAGGACATGGTGTTTGCATATCAATTGTCCCCTTACTGCATATATCTGCTTATGTTAATCTTTGTTAAATCAATCTTTGAAGTTAGAGTACCTGTATTACTGGAATGTTGATAGTAAGTAATATTAAAGTGTGATCTGAAAGGAAATTTCTGCCCATAACAAGTGGAAGAATTATTTTAAATGCAGTTGGTTGTATCCAAATAGGTTTTTTCCCTTTGTTTTCTGTGAACYGGTGTGATTACATGAAACCTCTCATTTTCCTTTCCACAGGAAAAGTCGTGTTGTTTGTCAGCAGCTCTGCTTGGTGAGGACTCKGAGATCAGCCAGGAGCAGCTGTTTGAGCTGCTGAAATACGCAGCTCTGGGGGAATGCCACGATGCAGCACAGCCCAGGTACATCCACAGCCTGATCTCGTGTTCTCCAGTGCTGAGGAAACGTTCCTAAAGCAAATTGGCCATGCTGCATTTGGAACTCCCACCGTGGAGCTGCCATAATCACAGCCTGAATTACACAGATATCACTGTTAGACTCAGCCACAGAGCAGAATTCCTCTGTTCTGACAGAAATCCTACACTGAAAACAAAATACCCTGTTAAAATATCATCACAACACAGATATTAATGCATTTCATGCTAGATATAATTGAAACAGAACATTCTAGAAGAAAAAAAACATTATAATCAACTTCTGCCTTTCTCTGGGCAAGTTCTYRTTAYTGGAAGGGAAAGGCTGAGGAGGGTRTATAACCCTGAATGGCAGAAATACAGTGAAGTTAAATGAACCTTAAAATGAAACTCAAAGCAGAAAATACCCCACTTTATATTTTAATAATGAAGAGAAAATTACTTTGTGAAACTTGTTTTGATGAATGAATTCACCAGGCTGCATCAATACAGCTGAAGTTACTTGTGTGTTCACATTCTGATGCATGTAAATGAGGTATACATGTCTTGAAATGGTATGCAGCAGAAATTTGCAGTAACCCTTCTCTCTCCTGTAATCTGTTACTTCCAGGAATATGTGGCTTTTTGAGATAAGCTATAAAGCCTTTTCTTACTGAAGTAATTTGGCACTTTGCCATTTAGGGGCTTAAAAGCTGGGCTGGTTCCAACTTTTTWAAAAAGTGCTTGATAATTTTGCTTTGATTTCTTTGTTTGAATGATTGCTCTTTTTTAACTGCAGCTGGTGCCATATTTATCACCAAAGCCACCTGGCTGGGGTTGTGGTTGTTGTTCTGCATGGAATGAGCCAGCTCCATTTCTACAGATTCTATTTACAGTTCAAACACCTCAGGAAAGTGTTCCAGCATGTAAGTCCCCAAACTGCTTCGGTGTCTTCTAAACTCCTTCCAGTCCTGAAATCACATCCCAGGGACAATGGCTGCAGTGGCAYTGCTGCCTTTTCCAAGGATGTGGCCATCCTTGACTCTTAGAGCAAACGAGAGGATCTATTTGCAGCAGTTGTCACTCAGAACAAAGGACAAGGCTTTGATATTAGGAACAGGAATTTAAGACTTAYGTCTTTGAAACCTTACCAGGTGAAATGTGGATTGATGTTTCAGTCCTCTGACTGTTATATCCTGCATCTACARGATGCCAATTAGATTATAAATATCTTGGAATCATTTCAATAACTAGGAATTTACTCTGAGTGAGGAGACTCTCAATAGTTATGCTAATGCCACTGGTTGAAAAATACCACTTTTGATATTTGCACTTYATGTCAAGTTTTTCCCATTTCCCAGAAAGATTAGTTAAAATAATTATTTTAATTTTCTGACTTACAAGCTACACTTTTGAAGGAAGATAGAAAGAAARAAGGACTTGAATTCAAGCTTCTAGAGAGCTCTTCCTGAACTGCAGCAAATGTAAATCACAACTTAACTGGCTTTAGYTTCTATCAAAGAAAGTCTTGAGATTTGCCTTCTGGATCATATCAGGCAAGGCAAATCTGTCCTGTAGYACAAAGAATCCTGTCTTTTCCTTCACTGGAACAGGTTTGGTTTGTGTTGGGTTCTCCTACTTGATARAACACCAAATGTATTTCCACATGTCTTTATCCATCCTCTTGTGAATGTGGCTGGTTTGGGGTCACTAAACCCCTCATTTGCTTTGTTCTGCTTGTCTTTCAATTTTCAGAGATTCACATTAACACCTTCTGCTAACTTCCCAGTCAGCCTGTRTGGAGAAGGAACAAACCTGAAACCTCAAAACACTGCACAAGGTATTTTGTTTGGGTTTGCACTATCTCTTGCAAGACAGTGACTCACTTTGAACAGAAATTTCTGACTTTGCATCCCCTGCAATCCCAGTGTGCTGCCATGGTGAAATTGGTTAGAAAGGAACACATACAATGGTTTAAACCATGAGACTTCTTACCCTGACTGCTTCAGGAACTCATGTCGGGCTGATTGTCACGAGGGAATGCAAAAAGAGAGGAAGGTTTTAACATATTTAATCCCAAACTCTGATGCTTCACTACCCTTTCTGTGATTATTTTATTGTAAGGTGTATCTAATCAAAGAGACAGAGATATAAATTAGTTTTGAGCCAAGAAGACCACGTTTCTGTTTTTTTTTTCTCTGACYCTCTCTCTCCAGTCCGTTGTGAGGTGGTGATTTGGAGTGGTGCAGCCTCTAAGACATTGATCTGATGCAGAAACTGAGTGCARGTAGAGAGTGCTGTCTGAGCCTGACAGATGTTTCTGTGTTTTACAGGCTTGACTTCCACCAGCAGTGAATGCATTACTAAAAGCTCAGACTTGAAATGGGATCCTATCATTCAGAGATATGGAGAAAAAAAACAAGGCCTTACAAGCTATACTCTGACCTTGGAAGAGCAGAAAAAAAATGACTATCCCACAGAAGGTCAGGTTTTTTGAGTGAAGGCTGTTTAGTTGTTTTGTTTTGTTGGGGGTTGTTTTTATTTTGACAGTTTATTTCTATGTTTTGTATGAGTTGTAGAACAAGGGTCTTTTTTTTATTCCCGAGTGTGTTTTCCCTCCAGGTTCCCCTGGATGCAAGGGCTTCATCTCCACAGAGTGTGATCAGCAGAGGACAGACAGCAGCCCMCTCTTTGGTCTGGACTGTGAAATGGTAAAGACTCAGTGATTTTGGCCTTACAGAATAGAGTCAGGCACCCGATTCTTTAGCAGCTCTTCCCAAGTGAGCCAAGCACTGTCTGTGTTTGCTGAACCACTTCAGGTATCCTGATAGCCACTGCCAGTCCCTCCCTTGATGGTACCAGTGCTAATGCAGCCATGGGAAAGGCCCCGGCGTGGTTCTGGCAACAAGACAGAAATCATATCCTGATATCCTGAGCAGAGAGCTCAGTTCTGTGYTGGCTCCCAGGGCAGCAGCTGGATCTGCCAGGCCTGTCAGCAGTGCTGCAACAACCCCTGAGAGTGCTGTGGAATTCCTCCTCAACTCTCCAAGGTTTGGGAAAGGAAASACAATTCCCTGTCACACATCTTTCCTTTAGCCAGCACAGTTCCTCTGGCAGCTGCTCTGGTGAAGAGCCCTCCTTCAGTGCAGTTTTAAACTTGCAGATATGCTCGTTTGACATCAGCATTGAGTAACTATTGCTACAGCCTGGGCTCTGCCTTTAAACTGTCCAATTTCTGTGGGGCTGGTGCTGTCAGAGGCAGCTGTGCAGTGCAGAGCTGATTCTGTGAAATCAGCACTTCCTTACAGTGTTTGTCTCTGTGCTGTGCTTAGGGTGCACATGGAACAATGGAAATGAAGCACAGTGAGTGTAATCCTGCCAGCTCTGAGTGGTCCCTAGGACAAGGCAGTCCCTGGCAGGGATGCTG